TTTTTCTTTGACTTTTTTTTTTTCTCTTTTTGTTTTCAAAGTCCAAATCCAACTCACACCATTTATTTTTTTTTCCGTTGCGTCAGTTTATGATGTAGACGTCTATTTTCCTCTCTGTTCAAAAACATGTTTTTTACCAATTTCCCAAAATATTAATTCCATTTCCTGTGCTTTATGTATTTATTTGCTGTGTATACATTGTACTCATCTGTGTGTATACATTACATACGTGACTTCGCTGCTTTGTCCTCCTGCACACGGGACAGCTTTACAGCGGCTGTTTTCTGCATTTTTTTCTACAGCCGGTAAACCCCCCAACATGTTCTCCTCCGTGACCACAATACTTTATATATATTTCAGGTACTTATATACACGGCACTTTACATATATATTGTACATTTACATCAGTCCCCGCCCCCGAGGAGCGTACAATCTAAGCTCCCCAACTCACATACACATACGAGGGACAATTCTCCTCCCAGCATGTCTTTGGAGTGTGGGAGGAAACCAGAGTACCTGGAGGAAACCCACGCAGGCACAGGGAGAACATGCAAACTCCAGGCAGGTGGTGCTGTGGCTGGGATTTGAACCAACGACCTGAGTACTGCCAGGCGGAAGTGCTAACCACTCAGCCGCTGTGCTCCCTGTACAATGTGAGCTATCATTAGCAGTTTTTGGCAGGAAAAAAAACCCAAAAGTAGCGCTTTTTAGAGGAGTTTGTTTAGCTGTAAAACACTCTAATATTGATAAATGAGGCAAAACGCGGTAAAACACGAAAAAAAAAAATAAGGTAAAGTGTACAAAACGCGGTAACAACACAAAACATACGAAAAACCGGCGTTTTGGGGCTTTTTGGGAGCCCAAATGGGTTTTTTTGTGTGTGTAAAAACCGCAAATGCGGAAAAATGCGGCTAAATGCTAACGCAAAAACACAAAAAAAAAGTGGAAATATGCGTGTTCTTAATGTGACTTCATGCAGCTAATGCTAATGGTGTTTTTAAGATGCCCCCCCCCCCCAGTGTGCGTGAGGACTGAGCGTGGGGTCACATGTATGCGGTGCGGTATATCACATGTGATTCACACAGGAACCGCCCCGCATTCCCTGCACATCACATGCGATTCACACAGGAACCGACCCGCATTCCCTGCACATCACATGCAATTCACACAGGAACCGCCCCGCATTCCCTGCACATCACATGCAATTCACACAGGAACCGCCCCGCATTCCCTGCACATCGCATGTGATTCACACAGGAACCGCCCCGCATTCCCTGCACATCACATGTGATTCACACAGGAACCCGACCCGCATTCCCTGCACATCACATGCGATTCACACAGGAACAACCCGCATTCCCTGCACATCACATGTGATTCACACAGGAACCGCCCCGCATTAACTGCACATCGCATGCGATTCACACAGGAACCGCCCCGCATTCCCTGCACATCGCATGTGATTCACACAGGAACCGCCCCGCATTCCCTGCACATCGCATGCGATTCACACAGGAACTACGCTGCATTCCCTGCACATCGCATGCGATTCACACAGGAACCGCCCCGCATTCCCTGCACATCGCATGCGATTCACACAGGAACCGCCCCGCATTCCCTGCACATCGCATGCGATTCACACAGGAACCGCCCCGCATTCCCTGCACATCGCATGCGATTCACACAGGAACCACCCCGCATTCCCTGCACATCGCATGCGATTCACACAGGAACCACCCCGCATTAACTGCACATCGCATGCGATTCACACAGGAACCGACCCGCATTCCCTGCACATCACATGTGATTCACACCGGAACCGACCCGCATTCCCTGCACATCACATGCGATTCACACAGGAACCACCCCGCATTCCCTGCACATCACATGTGATTCACACAGGAACCACCCCGCATTAACTGCACATCGCATGCGATTCACACAGGAACCACGCTGCATTCCCTGCACATCGCATGCGATTCACACAGGAACCGCCCTGCATTCCCTGCAGATCACATGCGATTCACACAGGAACCACCCCGCATTCCCTGCACATCACATGTGAATCACACCGGAACCACCCCGCATTCCCTGCACATCACATGTGAATCACACCGGAGCCGCCCCCCCGCATTCCCTGCACATTACATGTGAATCACACAGGAACCACCCTGCATTCCCTGCACATCGCATGTGATTCACACCGGAGCCGCCCCGCATTCCCTGCACATCGCATGTGATTCACACCGGTACCGCCCCGCATTCCCTGCACATCGCATGTGATTCACAGAGGAACCGCCCCGCATTCCCTGCACATCGCATGTGATTCACACCGGAACCGCCCCGCATTCCCTGCACATCGCATGTGATTCACAGAGGAACCGCCCCGCATTCCCTGCACATCACATGTGATTCACACCGGAACCGACCCGCATTCCCTGCACATCACATGTGAATCACACCGGAACCACCCCGCATTCCCTGCACATCGCATGTGATTCACAGAGGAACCGCCCCGCATTCCCTGCAGATCACGTGATTTGTGTGCGGTGCGATCGGAGGCGTACATTTTGTATGGCTCTGATCGCGCCCGCAATGTGCAGGACCCTTTATTGGCCAACACTAGAATCGGATCGCAGTCACACCTATGGGATCCGATTCTGCACGTCGCACCACGTTTTGCGGACCGTTTTAGGGGTGTTGTTAACATACACACCCGCAGTGGGTCGCATGAACGGGGTGCGATTCTGATGCGGTGCAGAATTCCCACAGAAAACGCTGCAAATTTCACTCTGCGTCAGTGTGAACCCGCGCTGATTCTTAACCTCTTGGCGCCGGCCGCATACAAATGTGCGTCCTCCGGGCGTCTGGGCCTTGAAGCTGAGCGGGCCGCACATTTACGCGAAATTAACAAAAAAAACATATGTGCTGCGCGCTCCCAGCACACACGACCGGTACTCACGGAAAGGTCCCAATCGCCTCGTTCGATCGGGACCTTTCCCGATCATGTGACCGCCGTGACAGCAAATCACGGCAGTCACATGACCCTAAAACCCCGCCTCCCGGCTTCTGAAACCCTTAAAGGGCCGGCACCAAGGGGTTAATATATCAAAGGATATTTTATTGAATAACTAAAGTACAATGTATCCATCTGAAGATTCCGATCTCTCACATATCTGTAACAATAACATCTCTAACATGCGGTTCAACTCATGGGGCCCCCGGGCAATAGGAGATCATGGGGCCCCTGTGTCTTCACCCACACTCAAACCACACCCAAAAAAAGCCTATGAAAGGTAGCAGGGGCATCTCATGGGGCCCCCTACTGAGCCTGGGCCCCCAGGCAGTGCCCGAGTTCCCGAATGGTCAGTCCGCCCCTGGTTCATAATGACGAGGTGCTGAAAGATACATATTTGTTTTTTTTTAATCTTTTTTAATTGTTGTAAAGTATTCCAGAATTCGGTGGCTGCGCCCGATCTGCGTTTGCTGTAAATGAGGAGATTTGATGGACGTATTCCAGCGGAGACGCCGAGATCCATTTATTTTTACGGTTTACAGAAGTGTTCCGGCACCGGATTATCGGAGTCATTTGGGGCGTCCTTCTGTTGCTTGTGCTGATTTTTTTGGAGCTCTGTGAAGCAGACGCATTATTCTCGCCGTCTCCAACTGTGAAAGACTCTTTTTTCTGACAAACATTTCAAAGCGGATTCATGTGAATCTTCCCTCGGCTCGGGAGCACTCAGATCTGCGCTATGTCAGAAGAATTTTTTAAAAGACCATCAGAGCCTCGCAAGTTGGGAAAACAATACCGGACTCCGTCCCAATAATTGTTATAAAGGAAAAAAAAAATGTCCTTCTTTTCAACTTACAAACTTTTTTTTTTTTTTCTGTTAAGCGGCATAAATATTTTACATGACAAAGTCTGACCTGAAGTTCTTTCTGGTGGCTGAATGAGATCCCAGGCCGTGGCATAAAAATAAACCTCCTCTTTTATTAATGAATTAGTGCCAATTAAAGATGATTCACAGGCAGATCTGGAGGAACACTGGACACCGGGAGGAGATTCGCTGTGACTCATCATGCAGTCCTCGGACTCTACGCTGGGAAGGGACGTTGCCCTGTCCTTCCATAACCTCGATGGAGAATCAGCATAACATTATGTCTGACCTCAATAGGATTTACAGGGTTGCAGAAATGAATTTTCAGCCGGCACCAGCTTGAAACGTGACAGTTGAGGGTTGGCAAGCAGAAGGATTCTTTTAGGAATCAGGATCAGCCAAGAGTCACCATCAGTGGTGCGCATCCTTCGAGGTTCAGTCCACCTAAAGGTCAGGTTTGGAGTATAGGGGGAGATTGGAAGGCTGAGCCACAAGCTGTTGTGGATTTCTCCTGAAGACTCCAGCAAAGAAACATCTCCGCCTTGGTATGAAGGCCACCTTGTGTGGTTGTCTATCTCCACTGTGATGTGACTTCTCTCCATGGTGTAGAACCTTTCTGGTGAGCTCAGGCCAGGCTGGAACTATGATTCTGGGATTGAAGGTCTAACAAACAAATGGTTACCCTTCTAGGGGTTTGCAGCACCTCTTCCAAGCTCAACAGAAAGGTTACCCACACGGGGAGTTCACAGTTCCTTCTTCAATGCAGCATTATTGCTCAGGACCCTAAGATCAGGGACCTTCTGACTGGTTCCTCAAATCGGTTCACAGTACCACCGTGTTCACACTGTATGCACCTCTCCATGCATCCTGTGCATATCTCCCATAGATCACTCATGCACAGGGACCATGCCTTGACCCCCAATGTAAGGGACATTCTTCCCACTGACCCCCAATGTAAGGGACATTCTTCCCACTGACCCCCAATGTAAGGGACATTCTTCCCACTGACCCCCAATGTAAGGGACATTCTTCCCACTGACCCCCAATGTAAGGGACATTCTTCCACACTGACCCCAATGTAAGGGACATTCTTCCCACTGACCCCCAATGTAAGGGACATTCTTCCCACTGACCCCCAATGTAAGGGACATTCTTCCCACTGACCACCAATGTAAGGGACATTCTTCCCACTGACCCCCAATGTAAGGGACATTCTTCCCACTGACCCCCAATGTAAGGGACATTCTTCCCACTGACCCCCAATGTAAGGGACATTCTTCCCACTGACCCCCCAATGTAAGGGACATTCTTCCCACTGATCCCCAATGTAAGGGACATTCTTCCCACTGACCCCCAATGTAAGGGACATTCTTCCCACTGATCCCCAATGTAAGGGACATTCTTCTCACTGATCCCCAATGTAAGGGACGTTCTTCTCACTGACCCCCAATGTAAGGGACATTCTTCTCACTGATCCCCAATGTAAGGGACGTTCTTCTCACTGACCCCCAATGTAAGGGACATTCTTCCCACTGACCCCCAATGTAAGGGACATTCTTCCCACTGACCCCCAATGTAAGGGACATTCTTCCCACTGATCCCCAATGTAAGGGACATTCTTCCCACTGACCCCCAATGTAAGGGACATTCTTCCCACTGACCCCCCAATGTAAGGGACATTCTTCCCACTGATCCCCAATGTAAGGGACATTCTTCCCACTGATCACCAATGTAAGGGACATTCTTCCCACTGACCCCCAATGTAAGGGACATTCTTCCCACTGACCCCCCAATGTAAGGGACATTCTTCCCACTGACCACCAATGTAAGGGACATTCTTCCCACTGACCCCCAATGTAAGGGACATTCTTCCCTCTGACCCCCCAATGTAAGGGACATTCAACCCACTGACCCCCAATGTAAGGGACATTCTTCCCACTGACCCCCCAATGTAAGGGACATTCTTCCCACTGACCACCAATGTAAGGGACATTCTTCCCACTGACCCCCAATGTAAGGGACATTCTTCCCACTGACCACCAATGTAAGAGACATTCAACCCACTGACCCCCAATGTAAGGGACATTCTTCCCACTGACCCCCCAATGTAAGGGACATTCTTCCCACCGACCCCCAATGTAAGGGACATTCTTCCTGCTGACCCCCAATGTATCCTGAGTGGTAGATATGGTAATTAGTAGGCGGGGTTCCCTGAGACCGGAAAGGATTTTCAAGGCTTCCTCGGTGTTCAGAAGATTGGGATTGGCTGACCTTCGCATTGACCTGCAGCCACCATTGGAGCGAGTGATGTGTCTGCAAAACTACTGGAGGATTTCAAGATGTCAGAGACAACCTGGGCTCACGGGAAGTGGTCTAGATGAGATTGGCCACCATCCCACCCTGAAGATGGTTGGTATTGAACCTCAGAGCTCAATTAGCAAGGGACAGAAGCGGGGGTGGGGAAGTATAAATGTAGCAAATTAAAAAGAAAGCTATCGGCGTCCATGTTTAGGTGGTGATGTAGCCGGCCTGTGATTGGCTGTCGGCTCCTTCACCCTGCTTCCTCTCTATGTGACGGTATGCTTGGCTCGGTGCTCCAGGCATTGGTCAATGTTTGGATTCGGCCCATATCTGGAGCTGTTGTCTAGACTCCGGGGACATCCGAGGGAAGGTCAGTCCCCCCACATGCCGCCACACATCAGCCTGGACCCGTTCCTGGACAAATATTACTTCACGCTACTGTAATGCTGCAACACGCGTGAGGTCATCAGGAGAAACCAGGTAAGAGCCGCAGGTCAGCCAGAACCTGCACCCAGCTGTATGAGGACATTGTGCTGAAGTGAGCGGTCATATCGTCCGCATGGAGTGTGTATAGTACATGGCCTCACTGGAGTCAGACCGCCTGTACATGGGGAGGTGGAGAACCTCAGAAATGAAAAAGGAACAAAGCACATCCTCCTATAGAGTGTACTCATCTCAGTCTGATGTACAGAGTATGACTTCGGTCTCCTCCCTCTGCTATCTGCAGGAGCCACTTCTATCTAAGCCAGGGGTCTCCAGACTATGGTCCTCCGGCTGTTGAAGTACTACAAGTCCCATCATGCCTCTGCTTCTGGGTGTCTTGCCTGTGGCTGTCACAGTCTTGGGAGGCCTCATGGGACTTGCAGTTCTTCAACACCCGGAGGGCCATAGTTTGGAGACCCCTGATTAAACCGACACTAGACAATCCCAGGAGATGGCCCCTCCCCCAGCAGGTGATTGATGTGCATGTTTCCTTATGAGACTGTGTGGGGGGGTGTCCATTCCCTCCACTTAAGTCTCAGATTACACTCAGCTCCCTGCACTATGTGACATCAGATCCCCCACCCACTGTCTTCTGGAACACACAAATGCTGTATAAATTCTGGACTTTGAATGGCTGTAGAGAAGATACAAATGCAGATAAACAGGTACAACTTACGTCGGAGGATTTCTTCTCTCTGAAGCCAGTCACTTCACTGGGGATATGGAGGGATTACAATCACTTTAGGCCTCTCTTTAGACTTCATATTATCCCAAGAGATGCCCTTCTATACAAGCTCCGCCTTTCTTGTCACATGATCACTTTTTAAGAAAATGGAAATGATATTCCCTCCTCCATGTATACAGCTGACATATGACACAAGGATTGGCCGAGAGTCACTGTCATGGGCGGGGCTTTTTGTCCCAAAGATTAGGTGCAGGAACTCCCCCTTCTGAGATACTTCTGGTTTCCGCCTCTCTACCCACCTATCAGCACCATCCCTTGGTTCCAGCCCCTACCCACCTCTGAGCACCGTCCCTTGGTTCCACCCCCAACCCATCTTCTAGCACCATCCCTTGGTTCCACCCCCTACCCACCTCTGAGCACCGTCCCTTGGTTCCACCCCCAACCCATCTTCGAGCACCAGCCCTTGGTTCCACCCCCTACCCACCTCCGAGCACCAGCCCTTGGTTCCACCCCCTACCCACCTCCAAGCACCGTCCCTTGTTTCCACCCCCAACACAGCTCCGAGCACCGTCCCTTGGTTCCACCCCCTACCCACCTCCGAACACCGTCCCCTGGTTCCACCCCCAAACCACCTCCGAGCACCGCCTCCTGGTTCCACCCCCAACCCACCTCCAAGCACTGTTCCTTGGTTCCGTCCCCTACCCATTTCCAAAGACCATCCCTTGGTTCCACCTCCTATCCACCTCCGAGCACCGTCCTTTGGTTCCACCCCCAACCCACCTCTGAGCACCGTCCCTTGGTTCCACCTCCTACCCACCTCCGAGCACCGTCCCTTGGTTCCACCCCCAACCCACCTCTGAGCACTGGCCCTTGGTTCCACCCCCTACCCACCTACGAACACTGTCCCTTGGTTCCACCTCCCACCCACCTCCGAGCACTGTCCCTTGGTTCCACCCCCAACCCACCTCTGAGCACCGTCCCTTGGTTCCACCCCCAACCCACCTCTGAGCACTGTCCCTTGGTTCCACCCCCTACCCACCTCCGAGCACTGTCCCTTGGTTCCACCCCCAACCCACCTCTGAGCACTGTCCCTTGGTTCCACCCTCTACCCACCTCTGAGCACCGTCCCTTGGTTCCACCTCCTACCCACCTCTGAGCACCGTCCCTTGGTTCCACCTCCTACCCACCTCTGAGCACCGTCCCTTGGTTCCACCTCCTACCCACCTCTGAGCACCGTCCCTTGGTTCCACCCCCTACCCACCTCCGAGCACTGTCCCTTGGTTCCACCTCCTACCCACCTCTGAGCACCGTCCCTTGGTTCCACCTCCTACCCACCTCTGAGCACCGTCCCTTGGTTCCACCCCCTACCCACCTCCGAGCACTGTCCCTTGGTTCCACCTCCTACCCACCTCTGAGCACCGTCCCTTGGTTCCACCTCCTACCCACCTCCGAGCACCGTCCCTTGGTTCCACCTCCTACCCACCTCTGAGCACCGTCCCTTGGTTCCACCTCCTACCCACCTCTGAGCACCGTCCCTTGGTTCCACCCCCTACCCACCTCCGAGCACTGTCCCTTGGTTCCACCTCCTACCCACCTCTGAGCACCGTCCCTTGGTTCCACCTCCTACCCCCACCTCTGAGCACCGTCCCTTGGTTCACCTCCTACCCACCTCTGAGCACACGTCCCTTGGTTCACCTCCTACCCCACCTCTGAGCACCGTCCCTTGGTTCACCTCCTACCCACCTCCCAGTCCGCTCCTTTTAGTAAATACAGAGCCAAGTATCATTTTGTGGTTCTAAGTAATTTGTATGGAATTTGTTAATGATAACAAGAAAAGCAGTCAAAAAGATCCTGTGCAGCCAGCAACAATAACCCCCCCCCCAGCAACAATAACCCCCCCAGCAACAATAACCCCCCCAGCAACAATAAACCCCCCCAGCAAAAATAACCCCCCCCCCCCAGCAACAATAGATTGCCTCAGCAACAATGGACCCTGCAACAAAATACCATCCTAGCAACAGTAGACCTCCATCAGCAACAACAGACCTTCCCAGCAGCAAGAGATCACCACAGAAATATAGATCCCCTCCAGTAACAACAGATCCTCCAGCAGCAAGCATCAATGGACCTTCCAACACACCCCAGCACCCCTTACCATCACATACATTCAGTACTGGTGGTGCGTTCCCCCACGTTCCCGCTGAAAAAAAGCCCTGGTCATGGGTCAACTGGACAGTTAACCCTTTATACACACACGGTAGTTGTCTCCACGCGTTCTCACAGAAACACGCCCCATTCACAGCATCCACTGTTGAAATTTTGACCTTTCAGGACTGTCTGCATCACCGGATGCCACAGCCAGACAGGCCTGTAACAGAGGTCCACGCTTTGGCGGCTCTTCACAGAGGCAAATGTTTTCATTAATTAATTTAGAGATTCAGCTTAACAATTTTCAAATATTGTTTTAAAGAAAATAGATGATAAAAACACTCAGACAGTAGAATGAAAAAAAAAAAACTTAAAAGTGCAAAATAGTTATGGGGAACTCTGCCTGTTTGTCATGGACAGGGTCAGGCTTGGAGACCAGTAGAGAGGCCCCACCTGACCAGCAGGATAGGTACACAAACAGGCCACCCTGGTGGATGACCCTAGCTTACCCAAGGTGTGGGTCTAAGCACTAATCACCAGAGCTCCTGATGGTGGGGATGGGTTTTGCTTCTTGTTAGAACCAGGTCGCAGTCCTCAGGATCACCCCACCAGCAAGAAGGAGTTCAGTAGCAGATATAGCAGGTTGGGATCAAGGAGAAGACAAGCCAGTAAACAAGCCAGAGGTGGGTAACAAATGGTCGCAGGTTGGGATCAAGCAGAAGTGTAGTCGGAGAACAAGCCAAAGGTCGGTAACAAGTGGTCGCAGGTTGGGATCAAGCAGAAGCGTAGTCGGAGAACAAACCAAAGGTGGGTAACAAGTGGTTGCAGGTTGGGATCAAGCAGAAGTGTAGTCTGAGAACAAGCCAGAGGTTGGTAACAAGTGGTCGCAGGCTGGGATCAAGTGGAAGCGTAGTCGAGGAACAAGCCAAAGGTCAGTGACAAGTGGTCGCAGGTCAGGATCAAGCAGAAGAGTAGTCGAGGAACAAGCCAAAGGTTGGATGGCAGCAGGAGTGAGAAGAACGAGATATTGGCTGGAGAGAGCAATAATCTGGCAAACCAGATGTGCAAAGACATGGAGTAAATAGGAAGTTCATAGGAGGAACAAACAGTTCAAGGTTCATGAAAAACAAGGTCCAAGGACTTGTCTGGGGAGCTCTGCAGCATTTCAGGTGGCTCAGCAAGAAGAGATACTGCCAGACACAGCAGAGGTTGTAGGTTCAGATCCAGGTCCTGACACTGAACCATGAACTTATAGAGTAAGTCCGATCTAATAGGGATCTGGTCCTTATAGATTGTTCTTAGTAGTTTCAGGAGTTTAGACCTGCTGGGGCATGTGTCTTCAGTTAGACTGGATTTCTTGACAGGTGTCCTTCCCTGATTGCCTAGCACAGACCTAAGACTAACATTTGTTACCACATTGCACGTTTTGGAGGAAATGAGGGTGGCACAGTGTTGAGGACCACTTCCCCATTCTTCACACGTAGACCACACCACCTGGCAAGACAAAGGGGACCCGAGGTTCACAAATGTCTGACACAAACCAACCCCTGCTACCTCCCACCTGGAGACTTGCTACAGAGTTACAGTCATTTTCAGTCTGATTACCGGGAAGGAAGAGACTAAGTAAATGCTTCCTCCTGCCTGCAGCAGACTGATGACATCATCTGGGCCTGGGAATAGGGTATTTGTCTATCCCCTCCCCCAGACTAAATGAGCATTTAATCCTAACTATCCCCGGGCTTCCTACTTCAAGGCTGGCTTGTCTGATGGGAACATCTCACTTATATAGACAAGTCATCTCTACCACCTCTATCAATGAGTCTTCCCTCCTCACCTCCATCAATGAGTCTTCCCTCCTCATCTCCATCAATGAGTCTTCCCTCCTCATCTCCATCAATGAGTCTTCCCCCTATCTCCATCAATGAGTATTCCCTCCTCATCTCCATCAATGAGTATTCCCTCCTCATCTCCATCAATGCGTCTTTCCTCCTCATCTCCATCAATGAGTCTTCCCTCCTCATCTCCATCAATGAGTCTTCCCTCCTCATCTCCATCAATGAGTCTTCCCTCCTCATCTCCATCAATGAGTCTTCCCTCCTCATCTCCATCAATGAGTATTCCCTCCTCATCTCCATCAATGCGTCTTTCCTCCTCATCTCCATCAATGAGTCTTCCCTCCTCATCTCCATCAATGCGTCTTTCCTCCTCATCTCCATCAATGAGTCTTCCCTCCTCATCTCCATCAATGAGTCTTCCTCCCCACCTCCATCAATGAGTCTTCCCCCTACCTCTATCAATGAGTCTTCCCTCCTCACCTCTATCAATGAGTCTTCCCTCCTCATTTCCATCAATGAGTCTTCCCCCTACCTCTATCAATGAGTCTTCCCTCCTCATCTCTATCAATGAATCTTCCCTCCTCACCTCCATCAGTGAGTCTTCTCTCCTCACCTCCATCAATGAGTCTTCTCTCCTCACCTCCATAAATGAGTCTTCCCTCCTCACCTCCATCAATGAGCCTTCCCCCAACCTCTATCAATGAGTCTTCCCTCCCAGGGGCGGACTGACAACTCATGGGGCCCCTGGGCAATAGGGCCTCTGTGTCCTTGCCCAAACTCAACAAAGCCTATGAAAAAGGTACCAGGGGCATCTCATGGGGCCCCCTACTGACCCCGGGCCCTCGAGCAGTGCCCGAGTTTCCAAATGGTCAGTCCGCCCCTGTTCCCTCCTCACCTCCATCAATGAGACTTCAATCCGCTCCCCGATCAATGAGCCTTCCCTCCACCTCTATCAATGAGTCTTCCCTCCTCACCTCCATCAATGAGTCTTCCCTCCCCACCTCCATCAATAAGTCTTCCCTCCCCACCTCCATCAATGATCCTTCCCCCCCCCCCCCCCTCTATCAATTAGTCTTCCCTCCCCACCTCCATCAATGAGCCTTCACCCCACCTCTATCTATAAGTCTTCCCTCCCCACCTCCATCTATAAGTGTTCCTTCCCCACCTCCATCAATGAGTCTTCCCTCCCCACCTCCATCAATGAGTCTTCCCTCCTCACCTCCATCAATGAATCTTCCCTCCTCATCTCCATCAGTGAGTCTTCCCTCCCCACCTCCATCGATGAGCCTTCCCCCCACCTCTATCAATTAGTCTTCCCTCCTCAGCTCCATCAATGAGTCTTCCCTCCCCACCTCCATCAATGAGTCTTCCCTCCCCACCTCCATCCATGAGTCTTCCTCCTACCTCTATCAATGAGTCTTCCCTCCTCACCTCCATCAATGAGTCTTCTTTCCTCATCTCCATCAATGAGTCTTCCCTCCCCCACCTCCATCAATGAGTCTTCCCTCCCCACCTCCATCAATGAGCCTTCCCTCCACCTCTATCAATAAGTCTTCCCTCCTCATCTCCATCAATGAGTCTTCCCTCCCCACCTCCATCAATGAGTCTTCCCTTCCCACCTCCATCAATGAGCCTTCCCTCCACCTCTAACATAAGTCTTCCCTCCTCACCTCCATCAATGAGTCTTCCCTACTCACCTCCATCAATGAGACTTCCCCCCCACCTCCATCAACAATATTTTCCTCCCCACCTCCATTAATGAGCCTTCCCCCCACCTCTATCAATGAGCCTTCCCTCCCCACCTCCATCAATGAGACTTCTCTCCCCACCTGTAACAATGAGCCTTCCCCACACTTCCATCAATGAGTCTTTCCTCCCCACATCCATCAATGAGCCTCCCCCCCACCTCCATCATTGAGTCTTCCCTCCCCTCCTCCATCAATGAGTCTTCTCTCCCCCCCCTCCATCAATGAGCCTTCCCTCTCTACCTCCACTAATGAGCCTTCCCTCTTCATCTCCACCAAAGAGTCTTCCCTCTTCACCTTCACCAATGAGCCTTCCCTCCCCAACTCCACCAATGAGCCTTCCCTCCCCACCTCCATGAATAAGCCCCCCCCCTTCACCTCCATCACTGAGTCTTCCCTCCTCACATCCATCAATGAGCCTTCCCACCCCACCTCCACCAATGAGCCTTCCCTCCCCACCTCCATCAATAAGCCTTCCCTCCCCACCTCCATCAATAAGCCTTCCCTCCCCACCTCCATCTGTGAGCCTTCCCTTCCCACCTCTATAAATAAGCCTTCCCTCCCCACCTCCATCAATGAGCCTCCCCCCCCCCAGCTCCATCAATCAACCTCCCTGCAACCTCCATCAATGAGCCTTCCCTCCTCACCTCCATCAATGAGCCTTCTGTCCTCACCTCTCCATTAATGAGCCCCCCCTACACCTCTATCAATAACTCTCCCCCCCACCTCCATCAATGAGCCTTCCCTCCTCACCTCCATCAATGAGCCACCCCCCCCACCACCTCCATCAATGAGCCTTCCCTCCCACCTCTATCAATGAGTACTGGCCACCCATGACTCTGTCACTGGTTGGCTGGTTCTCCTTCATTGGACCACTCTTGATTGGTCCTGACCACTGCAGACCAGGAACATCCCACATGAGCTGCAGGTTTGGATCAGGGGCGGACTGACCATTTGGAAACTTGGGCACTGCCTGAGGGCCCCGGGTCAGTAGGGGGCCCCATGAGATGCCCCTGGTACCTTTTTTCATAGGCTTTTTTGAGTTTGGGCAAGGACACGGGGGCCCCATGATTCCCTATTGCCCGGGGGCCCCATGATCCCCTATTGCCCGGGGGCCCCATGAGTTGTCAGTCCACCCCTGGTTGTCTATCCATTACAATTTGGTCCTTGTCAGAGTCCCTCCAATCCTCACACTTGTCCATTCTTTCTGATTTTTCTTCAGGGTCACCATGTTCACTTGCTGCCTCATATACCCCGCCCACTTCCGGTGCCATTGGAAGCAGATAATCCACGTTCTTCCCTTTACCTGTCGATGGTCAGAATGTTGTATATCATCTACAATACAAGCCCCGATGGAGGGGAGGACTGCTGGGACCCCGAAACGCGTTGGCCTTCCCTGTGCCTGGTACAGGATCTGTGGCCCTTCCGCCTTCTGTGATTCTAATTCCAGTTCTGATCCATTATAATGAACAGACGATTACTGAAGCCCCGAAGCAGTTAATACCCCCCCCCCCCCCCCCCGAGACGTGTCGGATGGGCTGCGGATCTATCTTCCCAACCTTGGCTCTTTTCATCTCGGCTTGATAGGCTACAAATATAAACAGCCGTTGAGGAGGAAGGAGCCTTCGCTGGAGTTGAAAAGTTTAGTTGGAGAATTTGGGAGATAACAATCAGAAGGAAAACATTTTGGAGTTGCGGTTGAAAGGAAATGTAATTAATTAAGCGGGTAAACATCGGATACGGCCCTGGAAGAGCGCAGCCGGCCAGAACACGGCGTTTGTTCCCATTAATCTGACCGTTTATAGATTCATCTGAGCATTTAGTGGAGGACATTTCATGACATGGGCGGCAGATGCTGCCTTCTCCTCCACTTAGTTATGTAACTGGTAGCTGGGCAGAGGTTATTCCAGAAGAAATGAAGTTCAAGTGGAAGTCAGCTGCAACTGAAGGGATCCGAAACTGACTTTTGTGTCCTATGTAGCATTTCCATGATGCGGATCTCCTGCCACTTCTGGTCCACGTGCCCTCCAGCGATGGCTGCATGGTACTTCTCAGGTTGTGTGTTCCGATGGCGACAACAGTGGACCATGTCGTGTGCTGAAATGGTTGTAGTCCGCAAAGGGTGACAACATAGGAAATGAATTGAGAGACAGGTACAGAGAGTTGTCACCCTATCGCAAGAAGTGCCTGAACAAGGACCCGAAGGCTAGGTTCACATTTTTGCATGTTGGGAACTGGCACAAAAATGAGCTGCCCTTTATCAGACGCATGGCAGCGCCAATAGTTGTTAAAGGTGCCCTGTGACTTTTGGGGGTGGGGGGACCCCTGTATCATCTCCCCATGCTCCTCTTATGTGTAAGGCACCCTGTGCCTTTTAGGGGTACAGGGTGAAATGTTGTAATATTGGTGTGGGGGGTTGTCCATTGTTCACTGCCACGTGCTGCATCCCATTATTCTATTGTGTGTCTTGGTTTGGTGGGGGGGTGTTTCCTGTAGCCCTTCCCCCTGATGGGACGGCCTGATGATGTGTTTCCTGTTCCTGGTTGTATTGCCCCCGCCCTGTGTATATATCTTGTGTTTGTGTTAAAATAAAGCAGTTTGACTTCCTGTCTTAAGAAGCCGGGTGCTGTCTATTTCCTGCTTGGTCAGCGGTGGTGTCGGGGATCTGTGTTCGGACAGGGAAGCGGGAGTCTAACGGAAATACCCGAGTGCAGTCGGGGTCCGGTTCCCCCACTCCCCACACTTCTCCTGACATGCACATTTTTGTGCTTGCCAAGCAGCTCAGAGACCAGTGGCAGCAATGCAGTCAGGCAAGTACCGTTCTCCTGGCCACCGCCAAACCCAGACACATCCATCAGATTGCCAGACAGAGAAGTGTGATTGGTCACTCCAGAGAACATGTCTCCTCTGCTCTAGAGTCCAGTGGCAGCGTGCTTTACACCACGGCATCCGACGCTTTGTATTGCACTTGGTGATGGAAGGCTTGGATGCAGCTGCTCGGCCCATGGAAACCCATTCCAAGAAGCTCTCTACGCACTGTTGTTGGGCTCATCTGAAGGCCACACCAAGTTTGGAGGTCTTTAGCTATTGACTCTGCAGACAGTTGGCGACTTCTGCGCACTGTGCGCTTCAGCATGTGCTGACCCCCCGCCCTGTCATGTGACGTGACCTACCACTTGGTGGCTGAGCGGCTGTTGTTCCCAGTGGCTTCCACTTTGTTATAATCCCACTAACAGTTGAGCGTGGAATATTTAGTAGCCAGGAAATGTCACGGATGGACTTATTGCCCAGGTGGCCACCTATCACGGGACCACGCTTGGAGTCACTGAGCTCCTGAGAGCGACCCATTCTTTCACCAAATGTTTGTAGAAGCCGTCTGCATGCCTAGGGGATGATTGTATACACCTGTGTCCATGGAGGGGATTGGAGCAACTGAATCACATGATTGGGAGGGGATTGGAACACCTGAATCACATGATTGGGAGGGGATTGGAACACCTGAATCACATGATATGGAGGGGATTGGAACACCTGAATCACATGATATGGAGGGGATTGGAACACCTGAATCACATGATCTGGGGGGGGGGGGGGGGGGGGGGGGGGGGACACCTGAATCACATGATATGGAGGGGATTGGAACACTTGAATCATATGATATAGAGGGGATTGGAACACTTGAATCACATGATATGGAGAGGATTGGAACACCTGAATCACATGATTGGGAGGGGATTGGAACACCTGAATCACATGATTGGAGAGGGGATTGGAACACCTGAATCACATGATATGGAGGGAATTGGAACACCTGAATCACATGATCTTGGGGGGGGGGGAGCGGGGACACCTGAATCACATGATATGGAGAGGATTGGAATACCTGAATCACATGATTGGGAGGGGATTGGAACACCTGAATCACATGATTGGGAGGGGATTGGAACACCTGAATCACATGATATGGAGAGGATTGGAATACCTGAATCACATGATATGGAGGGGATTGGAACACTTGAATCATATGATATGGAGGGGATTGGAACACTTGAATCACATGATATGGATGGGGATTGGAACACCTGAATCACATGATATGGAGGGGATTGGAACACCTGAATCACATGATATGGAGGGGATTGGAACACCTGAATCACATGATTGGGAGGGGATTGGAACACCTGAATCACATGATCTGGGGGGCGGGGACAATACTTCAGGCAATATAGTGTCGTTTCTGATAGGAAAGGCTCTGGAGAATGAAATAGCAGCAATCGCATTTCTTCTGTCGCTGAGCTGAATCACACGTGTGCGGTGCGGATTGGAGTTCAGGTTTCACAGCTGATTGCCCCGGTAGTTGATCAGCAGTTCAGGTCAGGGTTACATCGGGTTCAGGTCAGGGTTACGGGTTCAGGTCGGGTTCAGGTCAGGGTTACATCAGGTTCAGGTCAGGGTTACATCGGGTTCAGGTCAGGGTTACATCAGGTTCAGGTCAGGGTTACATCGGGTTCAGGTCAGGGTTACATCAGGGTTCAGGTCAGGGTTACATCAGGTTCAGGTCAGGGTTACATCGGGTTCAGGTCAGGGTTACATCAGGTTCAGGTCAGGGTTACATCGGGTTCAGGTCAGGGTTACATCGGGTTCAGGTCAGGGTTACATCAGGTTCAGGTCAGGGTTACATCGGGTTCAGGTCAGGGTTACATCGGGGTTCAGGTCAGGTTCAGTCAGGGTACATCGGGTTCAGGACAGGGTTAGGTCTTCACACATATGCGGTTTAGAAACGGTTCCCATAGAAGTCAATGGCCTGTCATCGGCACCTGAACTGGACCGCACTGCTCAGAAATCGGACGCCACTGAATCCGCACCGCCAGTATTCCGGACATATGTGAACAGGCAGGATAGGAAGCCGTGTCATTCCACATATCATGCGGATCGGATGCGGTGCTGACCTCATACATGGGACCGGCACTTCTGGATGCACAATATTTGCTTGTTTATTAAACACATTTTCAGGAAATTATCCATTGAAATGAATTTGTCGGAGGATTTACTAAAGGCATTCAGACTGATGCGGGGAAGACGACTTCCATCACCCAATCAGGTGCAAGCAAAAATGCTGGTATTTATATTTTCCTTGCATGTGATTGGGTATTCGTTGTAAAGTTATGTTTCGCTTCATTCACTAAACTCTCAAGCAACTGCACACGGCACACGGCACACGACACACAGCACACGGCACACAGCACACGGCACACAGCACACGGCACACAGCACACGGGCACACAGCACATGGGACACAGCACAGGACACACAGCACATGGCACACAGCACACGACACACAGCACACGGCACACAGCACACAGCACATGGGACACAGCACAGGACACACAGCACATGGCACACAGCACAGGACACACAGCACATGACACACAGCACAGGACACACAGCACATGGGACACAGCACACGGCACACAGCACATGGGACATGGCACACAGCACACGACACTGGGCACACAGCACTCGACACATAGCACACGGCACACAGCACAGGACACACAGCACACGGCACACAGCACAGGACACACAGCACACACGGCACACAGCACAGGACACACGGCACACAGCACAGGACACACCGCACACGGCACATGGCACACGGCACACGGCACACAGCACACAGCACACGGCACACAGCACACGGCACACAGCACATGGGACACAGCACAGGACACACAGCACATGGCACACAGCACACGACACACAGCACACGGCACACAGCACACAGCACATGGGACACAGCACAGGACACACAGCACACGGCACACAGCACAGGACACACAGCACACGGCACACAGCACATGGCACACGGCACACAGCACATGGGACACAGCACAGGACACACAGCACACGGCACACAGCACATGGGACACAGCACAGGACACACAGCACTCGACACATGGCACACGGCCCACAGCACAGTCTTGTGGGACAAGTGACAGGTCCTATGGGGACTATGGGGCCATTCAGGAACTGCAGCGCTACTCGCGCATGCGCAGTGGGATCCTGGCTGTGAAGCCGCAAGCTGTCCCCTCCGGGTGCTCACACTGAAGATGCCGGCGCCTGGAGTACAGGACGGCTGGTGAAACGAGCTGCGGTGGGGGCACACGGGGTTGTGGGACAGGTAAGTGGCTGTTTTTTAAAAGTCAGCAGATACAGTTTTTGTAGTTTTTGTAGTTTTTGTATCTGCTGACTTTTATTTTATTACAGTGTGAGTGGAGCTCAGCCGGGTTCACACTGACGCGGTGCGGAATTTGCAGCGTTTTCTGTGTGAAATCAGCACCACATCAGAATCGCTCCCCGTTCCTGCGAACCGCTGCGGGTGTGTAAGTTACCAACACCCCAAAATCGGTCCGCAAAACGCAGTTCAATGTGCAGAATCGGATCACAGAGGTGTGAGGACCCGTGTCGTCCATTCTAGTGCCGACCAATAAGGGGTCCTGCGTGTTTCTGGTGCGAGCGCAATGTGATCAGAGCCATAGATAATGTACGCCTCCGATCTCACATGTGATCTGCAGGGAATGCGGTGCGGTTCCCGAATCACATGTGATCTGCAGAGAATGCAGTGCGGTTCCCGAATCACATGTGATCTGCAGGGAATGCGGTGCGGTTCCCGAATCACATGTGATCTGCAGAGAATGCGGTGCGGTTCCCGAATCACATGTGATCTGCAGAGAATGCGGTGCGGTTCCCGAATCACGTGATATACCGCACCACATACATGTGAACCCGCGCTGAGGGTCTTTACAGGTCATCAATGTAGAGATAACATGAATGGTGGTCCTAGAATTATCCACCAAAAGACGGACGCTTGACGTCATCTACTGTATACAGATATGAAGTCCTGACAACCGCTGCAGGAGGTTCCTTCTACCCTCTCCTAGTACAAATCCTCCCTTCCTAGCACTACCCCTCCCAATCCCCCCCCCCAATCCTTTCCTAAAACAAATCCCCCCAAACCCTTCTCTAAGCACAAATCCCCCCTCCTAGTACAAATCCTCCCATCCTAGAGCTACCCCTCCCAATCCTCCTTTTCTAAAACAAATCCCCCCTCCCTTCAATACCCTCTCCTAGTGCAAATCCACCTCCCCCCCCAAATCCCCCTGCCTAGCAACACCTCCCCCAATCCCCCCTCCTAGCAAACCCCCAATCTCCCCTCCTAGCACAAATCCCCCCATTCTTCTTCCTAGCACCCCCCCTCCTCCATCCCTTCACCTAGCACCCCCCCCCCTTCCATCCCTCTGTTTAGTACAAATTCCCTCAAATCTCCCCTCCTAGCACAAATCCCCCCCATTCTTCTTCCTAGCACCCCCCCCCCCCCCCCCTCCAAACACTTAACTCTTAGCACCCCCCCTCCAATCCCTTCATCTAGCACCCCCCCCCCTTCTATCCCCCTCTTTAATACAAATTCCCCCAAATCTCCCCTCCTAGCCCAAATCCCCCCCCTTCTTCTTCCTAGCGCCCCCCTCCAATCTCTTCACCTAGCACCCCCCCCCCCCTCCAATCCCTTCACCTAGCACCCCTCTCCAATCCCTTCACCTAGCACACCCCCCTTCCATCCCCTTTCTTAGTACAAATTCCCCCAAATCTCCCCTTCTAGCACAAATCCCCCCCCTTCTTCTTCCTAGCACCCCCCTCTCCAATCCCTTCACCTAGCACCCCCCCCCCCCCCCCCCTTCCATCCCTCTGTTTAGTACAAATTCCCTCAAATCTCCCCTCCTAGCACAAATCCCCCCCATTCTTCTTCCTAGCACCCCCCCCCCCCCCAAACACTTAACTCTTAGCACCCCCCCCTCCAATCCCTTCATCTAGCACCCCCCCCCCCTTCTATCCCCCTCTTTAATACAAATTCCCCCAAATCTCCCCTCCTAGCCCAAATCCCCCCCCTTCTTCTTCCTAGCGCCCCCCTCCAATCTCTTCACCTAGCACCCCCCCCCCCCTCCAATCCCTTCACCTAGCACCCCTCTCCAATCCCTTCACCTAGCACACCCCCCCTTCCATCCCCTTTCTTAGTACAAATTCCCCCAAATCTCCCCTTCTAGCACAAATCCCCCCCCTTCTTCTTCCTAGCACACCCCCCTCCAATCTCTTCACCTAGCACCCCCCCCCTCTCCAATCCCTTCACCTAGCACCCCCCCCCCTCCAATCCCTTCACCTAGCACCCCTCTCCAATCCCTTCACCTAGCACACCCCCCTTCCATCCCCTTTCTTAGTACAAATTCCCCCAAATCTCCCCTTCTAGCACAAATCCCCCACATTCTTCTTCCTAGCGCCCCCCCTCCAATCCCTTCACCTAGCACCCCCCCCCACCCCTCCAATCCCTCCACCTAGCACCCCCCTTCCATCCCCTTTTTTAGTACAAATCCCCCCTTCTATCACAAACCCCCCCCCCCCATCCCTTCTCCTAGTGAAAATTCCCCCTCCAGTCCATGGAAAGATCGGCCTGGGGGGGGGGGGTGTGGCCCACCCCAGCACCCCAGCATTTTTATTGAACTAAATTTTGAAATATATTGAATACGGCCCAAATTGTAGCATTTCAAACATATGTCAATATATTTGGGAAGAATATTTTTAAAATACATTTCGAATCTATTTTTCTTCCATGTGGGAATGTTCAGAACCGGAGAGCCGAAGTTTTTTGCCTCCATACGGACTTTAATCGAATTTCTCATTTCTTGTCCCCAGACTCCGGGACCCCCAGACTTCTCCTCACACGGCTGAGGAAGGACCACCGTCCTGCGCGCCCCCGCTATGTCGCCGCCACCCCCCGCTATTTATAATAAGATCGTTTGTTTGTAAATAGAAGAGAACACGGCTGTGTTTGCTAAACATGTGTAATGTGATGTGACTGTTCCCACTGCTCAGGGCCCGGCGTCCACGTGTAAAGCCCGGCTCCCCAGCCACAGCTTCGCACTATATGGGAAGAGCGCAGTGTGCGGTTCCTCCTGTCCCAATTCTGTCTGAATAATGTCCTCCGCAGACAACATGTGTAAGTCCGCTCTTCAGTTTCCATAGCAATTTAATAAGTCCATTCAATTGTCCGTCTTGCTGGGGGAACCACACACCTAGGGTGCCAATTAGTGCCATTAATGATGATTTAATTAGTATGTTGACACTTTTCACATAGAACTGCCCCCAGGACCACGTCCTCGC